GGTACAAGTAAGAAACCTAGAAGTGTTGTACCCTATAGTATCTACCCCACTACAGCCTAGAAAGATTATAGCATTTTAGTTTGACACACCCCCATAGGCAAAGTGGGGGAGAACAAGAGGTCACAAGACCAGTCAAGCAAAGCACAGCAAGCTCAGGGTGGATCACAACGTCACCACACATTCCGAGCACAAGTTCAAGGCCACAAGGCCAGTTCACATGTAAGATTATATATAAAGGCAAACAAGCAAGTGTAGGTATAGATAGATCACAGTACAAGCAAGGTTAAGAAGTGAGCAAGTGAGGCAAAGTAGGCACAAGACCTAGCATCGTACAAAAGCGCTAATGATCACAAGGCTGAAGTGCCTTGGTAAAGATATCAGCAGTGTTGGCCTCAGAGGCCACGTAAGCAAGACGCAGCTGACCACGCTGCTGCAGCTCACGCGCAAGGAAGTAGCGAAGAGCAATGTGCTTCGTTCTGTGCTCCAGTCTGTGCTCTCGACACAAGGCTAGCATGGCCTTGTTGTCCACGTACAGAACTGGAGGAGAACGAGGCGGCTCTCCCAGGTCGATCAACAGGTAGGTGAGCCAACGTAACTCCTGTGCAGCCATGGCCCCTGCGTAGTTCTCGGCCTCACAGCTGCAGCCGAGAACAGAAGACGAGCGGGTAGACCGCCAAGAAACAGAGCCGGAACCAAGACTGAAGGTGTAACCCTGTGACGACCGCTGCGTAGCCAAGTCATCAGCCCAAGAAGCGTCTGCATGACCAGTCAAGACCACTGAACTCCGCCCTCCAAGCATGAATCTCGTGCCCGACGTACTGCACAAGTAGCGCAACACCCTCTTCGCTGCAGCCATGTGCTCTGGTCGGTGTCTCCCAGGAGCAACATAGCGTGCTAAGATGCTAAGAGGGTATGCTAGGTCAGGACGAGTGCAGGTCATCAGGTACATGAGGCAGCCAACAAGCTCTGGGTACGAGCCACTCGGCTCTACGGACTCATCCGAAGGCAGAGCTGAGAGCGAGTGGCGAGAAAACAGAGGAGTGGCCTGAGTCTGGGTAATGGTGCGCCGTGCTCTGTCCCGGGTGATCTGCAAGCCAAGGTAGCTGCGCAGTTCACCCAGGTCTGTGCACGTGTCTCTCTTTTGCAACTCAGAATTCACGTGGGCGAGTCCAGCAGTGTCAGCAGTAGCAAAGACCAAGTCGTCGACAGACACGAGGATGTAGAACGGCGGCAAAGAGGTGTCGGTGCGTAGAAACAGCGATGGGTCGGCTGTAGAAGGAGCAAACCCAAGAGCCGCAAGCGTCGTCCTTAGTGTGTCGTGCCACTCATGGGGCGCCTGGCGGAGACCGTAGACTGGCCGCCGGAGGCTCCACTGGGTAACAGGAGGAAACGACCCAGTGAAGCCAGGTGGGCGGCGCAGCCAGATCTCCTCGTGCAGGCTGCCCTGTAGGAAAGCAGTGCTGAAGTCAAGAGAGTGAAGCTCGTAGTCGCGCTGAGCGGCTATGTGCAGCAGTACCCGAAGAGTGGTCATCTTCGGGGTGGGGGAGAAGGTCTGAAAGTAGTCAACTCCCTACCGCTGACTGAAGCCTCGAGCCACGTAACGTGCCTTGAAGACAGACGAAGAACCTGGCGGCCGCTTCACCCTGAAAATCCACATGCCACTGACGATGTTCGCCCCAGGTGGGGGAACCTCGTCAACGTAGGTGCCTGTGGACTTCCCGGAAGCCATCTCTGTGTCCATAGCTGCCTGCCACTGAGAGGAGTAGGGATCCTCTATCGCCTCTGCGTAAGAGCGCGGAGTCGGGATGTCTGGTGCATCCGGGTCTCCCTCAGGGGCAATCAGCATGGACACGAGATGAGGTAAAGCAGCAGAAAAACACTGGAACTCCTCCTGCCTTTCCTCAAGGACGTCCGTGCTAAGAGCACACTCACCCCCGACGGACAGAGGACAGACAGAGTCAGACTCAGCAATAAGACTAGCGGCGTAGTCTAGACGACAATGAGCAGCGAAGTCGTCAAGCTCAGCAACTAAGGCAGACGCAGCAATGGACTCAAAGGAAGGGTCAGTGACAACAGTAGCCAGGAGACGCGTGACAGTAGGACTGGTAGCACGAAGGGAGTCAGACTCCGGGTCAGCAAGAGCAGGAAGAGAGGACTCTGGAGGAGACGGCAAAGGGACACGCAGTGGAGCAGTGGAAGGACGCAGTGCCATTTGGGGCGTGCCGGGGATCGCAGGAGGATGCTGATGCGGAACACGACGACCGGTGCGAGCAGCACGAACAGGGGACGCAGGACGAGACGCAGGCTCACGATGCTCAGCAAGACCTCCAGTAGGACCTGTGTAGGGAGAAGGAGCAGGCAGTGGGGAGGCGGGCTGTAACTGTGACTCAGACTGGACAGGCGGTGGACACTCAAAGGAAGGAGCAGGACCAGTAGAAGGCGGGAGACCAGGAACCTGCTGAAGGAGCGGAAACGGCCGCGGCCACGCAGCGCCTCCAGAACCAGTAGGGACAGCACCAGCACCCCCAGCGTCAGCACCAACACCAGCAGAACCACCAGCTCCAGCAGCACCCCTAGTAGCTCTAGCAGCGCCAACTCCAGCACCCCAAGAAGGACCAGCTCTAGTAGCACCTCCAGCGCCAAGACCTCCAGCAGCGCCAGCTCCAGCAGGACCACCGGAAGAAGCAGCAGCACCAGCTCTACTAGTACCTGTAGCAGCGCCTATGCCAGCAGCACCTCCAGCTCCAGCACGAGCAGCACCACCAGGCCCACCAGCTCCAGTACCGCCGGTACGAGCACCTCCGGGACTCGTGGCTCCAGAACCTCCAGCAGCCGCAGAACCTCCAGCAGCCGCAGAACCTCCAGCACCGGTAGCACCACCAGCTCCACAGCACGACTCCAGCGGCGAGCAAACCACTCACGTAACTCGTGGGGAGAGGGCAGCTCCCGGGGAGAGGGCAGCTCCAGCCGGGACAAAGCACCCGAAGGACCTCCAGGCCCAGTGCCACCAGGCTCGACTCGAGCAGGCCCAGCACCCTCAGGCTCCGCACCCCCAAACTCAGCAACCCCAGGCTCAGCACCCCCGAGCTCAGCACCCCCAGACTCAGCACCCCCAGACTCAGCACCCCCAGACTTAGCACCCCCAGAATCCGTATGCTCAGGCTCAGCACCCCCAGACCCGGCACCCACAGGCTCAGCACCCCTAGCAGCACCAGAATCAACAGCCACCTCGACAGGCTTGACTGCGTCTACCTGGGACACACCTGAGGGGGCAAGACCCTGAGGGGGGAGGGGGTCTACTGGGGGGGACCTGGCGCGAGGAAGAGCAGTGGGGGGGGGGAGGGGGGCAGCGCGGTAGGGGAAGAGCCGGTAGTACGGAACCGACTCGTCAAACGTGGCATCCTGGGAGGACAGAACACGGCGCGAGGTGGGGTGGTAAAACTGCCAACCAGGCGCGTCAGGGGGGAAGCCAAGGAAGACGCAGGGAACAGCACGAGAGGACAGCTTGTCCGCAGATAAGTCTCGGACGAAAGCCCGAGATCCCCAGACACGGAACGCAGACGCATTGCCAACCTTCCCTGTCCACCACAGGGTGGGGGAGGTCTCCGGCAAGGAGACCCGGGGCTGAAGGTTGATTTGATGCGCCGCGTACTGAATCGCGAACGGCCACAAAAAATGGGGAGCAGCTGCATGGATCATGGACGTACGAGCGACGTCCATGACCATGCCAATGCGGTGCTTAGCAATCCCATTTTGCTGTGGAGAGGCCGGAAGCGTGAACATCTGGCGGATGCCCCTCGCACGGCAGAAAGCTTGCAGAAGGTCGGAGGAAAACTCTCCACCTCTGTCGGAGTGCAGACGCAGAACAGGAAAGTCCGAGCCGAAACTCTCTCTAAGCTGGAGACGAGCAGCGCGGATCCAGTCGATCAACACCCCAGTGACCTCACCCTTGGTGCGCAAGGGGAAGACTGCGGTGTAACGCGAGTAGTCGTCAACCACCAAGTGGAAGTAACGCTCGTGACCTTGTCCACGGACGCGGGCTGGGCCCCACACGTCCATGTGAAGAGTCTGCAGCAGAGCCTATGTCGGCGGAAACTCGGAGGAGTGAGGAGCGGCGCGCTGCCGCCCCTCGACGCAGGGAACACAGGTAGGGGCAGGCCCCAAAGGAAGGGGAGGGAGGGACCGGAGGAAACCAGAGACAAGGTAACGGGAGGCCATGCCTCGGAGACGAGGCAGGGAGGGGTGACCAAGGCGGTGGTGCCAGAGGAGGGTCTGGTGGGACAGGAGGCGACACGAGCAGGGGGCAGACTCAGGACCAGACCTGGACGCTGCAGCAAACACCTGACCCAACGCAAGTACCTGACCAGACGCAGTAACCGGAGGAGACTCGGTAGTCAGTATGTACACACTCGACCCTGGTTGACGGGTAAACGTGGCCAAGTGTCGGCCCGTCCGAGCACACGTGCAGTGGGTCACCCCATCCTGCAGGTCAGCACCACTCACCAAGTTCGTAGAGAACGAGGGGAGGTAAAGACTTGACAGGGAGCCAGACGGGGCCGCTGGACACGGTAGTATAGTGGAGAAGTGGGCAAGGATAGGACCCCCAGAGGGGTCTGCCAAGGAGACCGCAACCGGCCGACTGAGCGGCGTGAGGGTGGTGCGGTCTCGAAAGAAGGAGCGAGATGCACCCGAGTCAAGGGTGAAGGTGTGCAAAGCCTGACCAGACGTGGTACCTGAGAGAGCAGACTCACTAGTACCTGGAGCAACAGACTCACTAGTACCTGGAGCAGCAGATTCGCGAGCACGTAGAGGAGCAGCTGCAATGCACGGGTCAGGCGGAACACACAGGTAGCAGTCACCCTCCTCACTAGTAGACACAACATACATCGCAGCAAGAATAGCATCATAGTCAAGATCAAAGATAGCTACACCCGACTTGAGCAAATCACCCCAGCGAGGGATCTCAGAGGCGTCAGGGAACTGGAGACGCCAGGCGTCAGTCAGGCGGCCAAAGCAGCGCTGGGTGGTGTGCGGCCCACCGCACGGCTCCCCAGTGCGGTCAACAGTACGTAGGACGTAGGCACAGGGACCAGCACCCCCAGACCACTGACGCGCAGCGTACCACTCACGAAGCTGCTGGGGCGGCGGGGTCTCACGAGAGCGCTGCTGCTGCAAACGCTGGCCACCACCAAAGCCTCCCCGCGGCACTGAGCCACCTCGACCAGCGCCACCGCCACCACCGCCTCCTCCACTCCCACCGCCACCGCCGCCGCCGCCTCCGCCGCCGCCACCAGAGCCCCCACCCCCGCCACCACTCCCACCGCCACCCCCACCCCCTCCGCCGCCCCCACCGCCACCACCACCGCCCCCCCCCGCTCCCCCAGCACCCTTGCCCCCCTTGCCCTTGCCGTTGCGGCGCCTCCCGCTAGGGGCACACGCAGCGCCGACCGACTAGGTGCCAACGAGGTCGACAGCAGCAGCAGAGGCAACAGAGGGCAAAAGGGGGATGGGGGAACACCCCTCAAAGAAAGGGGCACGAGGGTCACCACGAGAGGCTCCTACAGCGACTATACTCTTCTCAGCTACCAGGAGGCGCTCCTCGAGGAGGTCAACGGTGAGTGTCGTGGGGCAAACAGAGAGGAAGTGGTCCCTGACCGAGGGTAGGGAGTCAGGGAGCTAGGTGACTAGGTAGTAGAGGGTGATGTACATAGGGGGGGGGGTTCTTGGCGCAGAACTCAGCAGGAAGCGCAGCGCTGTAGCGGGTGTCACTAGTGCGTAATGAGGTCAGCGACTGTGGCAAAGGCGGCGAGGTCAGGGAACATGTACGGCAGCATGAGGCGACTAAGGGCAGCAGTGGCAGGGGAGGAGTAGCGTGCAACTACAGCGTCGTACAAGGTGTTAGCAGTCTTGTACTGGCTAAAATGCGCGCGCTCAGTGGATGGCAGGTGAGTACGCACAGCAAGACGAGCAGCAGCATCGCGTGTGGTCCACTGTGAGCGAACAGTACTGTCAGCATCGGCAGCAGGGGCAGTGGAGGCGCCAGACGTGAGATCGAAAAGTGAGAGGTCGTGTTTGCTATCGCACTGCAGGAAATGCTACAGATCATCTATCCAGACCTCAAAGTCTACCGCTCGACCCTCAGCATCAAAGGTAAGAACGTTGGGAATAGCCATGACAGTAGTAGCAGCAGCAGAAGCAGGTTAGCAGTAGCAGCAGTAGGAGGAGCGCGGCTCGGCGGTGCGCTTACCAGGGGCGGGTGGGTAGAAGCCCGCAAGTGGTGGGGCAGGGCCGAGGTGCGCCGGCAGGAACAGGGCCAGGGTGCGCCAGCAGGAACAGGGCCGACGTGCGCCGGCAGGAACAGGGCCGCGACAGGGCGGCAGAGGAGGGTCGTGACTGTCAGAACTTTACAGCTTACTCATTTGTGTAGGCTATAGTGGGGTATCCCATAGGGGGTACAATCCCATTAGGGTTTCCTATTTGTACTCACTTCATTCATAGTCATTTCATTCTCGTTCACTTCTTCTCATGGTATCGAGCAGGTTCCCCTGTGGGAACTGTGCTTAGGGCCCACCACCACTACCTCGTAACCTTTTTTTTCTGCCCGGAGCGCCCTCCGGGCCCCTTTCTCTTCCTTTTTTTTTTCAATCTGCCCTAATGGCCCCTTGCGCCTGAGCGGTAGGCGCCGCTCTGGCAAGGGCAAGGGAGGCAAGGGAGTGGGTGGAGCTAGCGGGGGCGGTGGCGGAGGAGGTGGGGGCGGCGGGGGGAGTGGGGGTGGCGGTGGAGGTGGGGGCGGGGGTGGAGGTACTAGTGGCGGCAGTGGAGGCGGAGGTGGCGGCGGAGGTGGCGGTGGAGGTGGCGGTGGGAGCGGCGGGAGCGAGGGTGGCGGTGGCGGCGGTGGCGGCGGAAACGGGGGTGGCGGTGGTGGAGGTGGTCGGAGTGGCTCGTCCCAGCGGAGCAGCACTGTGGGTGGTCAGCGCCAGCAGCAGTAGCAGCAGCAGCAGCAGCAGCAGCAGCAGCGCTCCCGCGACGTCCCCGCCCCTCAGCAGCTCCGTGAGTGGTACTTGCAGCGTCAGCGTGGTGGGGCGTTCGGTCCCTGCACCTACGTCCTTCGCACCGGCGACCGCGCGAGTGAGCAGTGTGGGGGCACCCACACCGCCTGCCGCTGCTTTGCCCGCCTGACCGACGCTTGGCGCCAGCAGTTTCCGGAGGCCTCTGAGATACCCCGCTGGGGAGAGCTGTCTAGGGCTGGTGTAGCTATCTTTGATCTTGACTTTGATGCTATCCTTGCTGCCATGTATGCCGTGACTGTTAGTGATGAGGGTGACTGTTACCGGTGTTTCCCGCCCGACCCGGGCATTGGTACTGCTGCGTCAGGTGCCAGTGAGGTTGCTGCTCTAGGTGCCAGTGCGTCTGTGCTCTCAGGAACTGGTGAGTCTGCACTCTCAGGTACTGTGTCGGCTTCGGCCTCTCACACCTTCACCCTTGACTCTGGGGCGTCTCGCTCCTTCTTTCGGGACCGCACCACTCTCACGCCGCTGAGTCGGCCGGTTGCGGTGTCCCTGGCTGACCCCTTTGGGGGTCCTGTCCTGTCTCGTTTCTCCACAGTCCTCCCGTGTCCGGCGGCTCCCTCTGGCACCCTGTCTGGTCTCTACCTCCCCTCGTTCTCTACGAACCTGGTGAGTGGTGCTGACCTACAGGATGCGGGTGTCCACCAGTTCACTCCTGCTCGTCAGCGGGTGACACACTGCACAGAGGCTAGCACAGGTCGCCACCTGGCTACGTTTACACGTCAGCCAGGGTCGAGCCTGTACACACTGACCACTGCTTCTCCTCCAGGTGCTGAGTCTGGTCAGGTAGCTGCGTCGGGTCAGGTGTTTGCTGCAGCGTCCAGGTCTGGTCCTGAGTCTGCCCCCTGTTCGTGTCGCCGTCTGTCTCACGAGACCCTCCTCTGGCACCACCGCCTTGGCCACCCCTCTCTGCTTCGGCTCAGAGGCATGGCCTCCCGTCTTCTTGTGTCTGGTCTCCCCCGGTCCCTCCCTCCCCTTCCTCAGGGCCCTGGCCCTGCCTGTGTCCCCTGTGTCGAGGGGCGCCAGCGGGCTGCCCCTCACTCCTCCCAGTTTCCTCCGACAGAGGCTCCGTTGCAGACACTTCACATGGACGTGAGGGGCCCTGCCCGCGTCCGTGGGCAGGGTCACGAGCGCTACTTCCTGTTGGTGGTTGACGACTACTCGCGTTACACCACAGTCTTCCCCTTGCGCAGCAAGGGTGATGTCACTGAGGTGCTGATCGACTGGATCCGCGCAGCTCGTCTCCAGCTCAGGCAGAGCTTTGGCTCGGACTTTCCTGTGTTACGTCTGCACTCGGACAAATGGGGAGAGTTCTCCTCTAGCCTTCTGCGTGCCTACTGTAGTGCGCGAGGCATCCGCCAGACCTTCACGCTTCCGGACTCACCGCAGCAAAATGGGATTGCAGAGCGCCGCATTGGCATGGTCATGGACGTCGCTCGTACGTCTATGATGCATGCGGCTGCCCCCCATTTTCTGTGGCCGTTTGCTGTCAGGTACGCGGCGCATCAGATCAACCTCCACCCCAGGGTCTCCAGGCCGGAGACCTCCCCAGCCCTACTGTGGACGGGGAAGGTTGGCGATGCGTCGGCGTTCCGGGTCTGGGGATCTCGGGCGTTTGTCCACGACTTGTCTGCGGACAAGCTGTCCCCTCGCGCTGCTCCCTGCGTCTTCCTGGGGTTCCCCCCCGACGCCCCTGGGTGGTAGTTCTACCACCTCACCTCTCGCCGTGTTCTGTCCTCCCAGGACGTCACGTTCGACGAGTCGGTACCCTACTACCGCCTCTTCCCCTACCGCACTCCGTCCCTCCCCCCACCCCCGCTCTTCTTGGTACCAGGTCCCCCCCCGGTAGACCCCCTCCCCCCTCAGGGTCCTGCCCCTTCAGGTGTGTCCCAGGTAGACGCGGTCGAGCCTGTCGAGGTCACTGGTGACTCTGGTGCTGCTGTGGGTGCTGAGCCTGGGGGTGCTGTGCCTGGGGGTGCTGAGCCTAGGCGTGCAGGGTCTGGGGGTGCTGAGTCTGGGGGTGCTGAGCCTAGGGGTGCTGAGCCTAGGGGTGCTGAGCCTCGGGGTGCTGAGTCTGGGGGTGCTGAGCCTGGGAGTGTTGAGCCTGCTGAGCCTGGAGGTGCTACGCCGGGAGGTGCTTTGCCTGGGGGTGCTGAGCCTGGAGGTTCTTTGCCTGGAGGTTCTCCGGGTGCTTCGTCTCGCCGAGAGCCACTCTCCTCACAGGAGCTGCGTGAGTGGTTTGCTCGGCGCTGGAGGCGTGCTGCTGGTGCTGGAGGTTCTTCTGCTACTGAGGGTGCTGCTGCCGCGGGTCCCGGAGGTGCTCGTACTGGGAGTGCTAGAGCTGCTGGGCCTGCGGGTTCGCCTGGAGCTGGTGCTGCTTCGGGTGTTGGCGCTGAGACTACCACTGGTGGTTCGACTGGCGGTGCTCCTGGTGCTGCTGGAGGTTCTTGGGATACTAGAGGAGCTGCTGGGGGTTCTGGAGCTACTGGAGGTGCTGCTGGAGGTGCTGCTGGAGCGGGTACTCCTGCTGGGGGTACTGGTGCTGTCCCTGCTGTTTCTGGCGTCGCCACGCGGCCCCGACCGTACTTCGTACCGCTCCTGCAGCAGGTTCTTGGTCTTCCACCTTCTCCTGGTCCTCCTCCTCCTCCCTTAGAGGGTCCACAGCCTGTCCAGTCATAGCTACAGCCTGCCTCCCCTTTGCCTGCTCCTTCTCCCTACGCTGGTCCGACTAGAGGTCTTACTGAGCGTCGTGAGCCTGCGTCTCGTCCTGCGTCGCCTGTTTGTCCTGCACGCACTAGTGGTCGCGGTTCGCGTCAGCGTCCTCCTCCTGTCATTGGCACGCACCGGATGTCTCTGCGTCCGTCTACTGCTCCTCTGCGTGCCCCTTTGCCTTCTCCTCCTGCTTCCTCTCTTCCTGCTCTTGCCGACCCGGAGTCGAACTCTCTTCGTGCTGCCAGTCCTACTGTCACGCGTCTTCTTGCTACTGCCGTCACGAACCCTTCTTTCGAGTCTTCTGCTGCGTCTGCCCTTGTCACTGAGCTCATCGAATTTGCTGCGCGCTGTCGTCTAGACTACGCTGCTGGTCTTGTCGCTGAGTCTGAGTCTACCTGTCCTCCGTCCGTCGGGGGTGAGTGTGCCCTTGGCACGGACGTCCTTGAGGACAGGCAGGAGGAGTTCCAGTGTCTGGCCGCCGCTTCACCTCATCTCGCGTCTGTACTGCTAGCCCCTGAGGGAGACCCGGATGCACTAGACATCCCGACTCCGCGCTCTTACGCGGAGGCGATAGAGGGTCCCTACTCCTCTCAGTGGCAGGCAGCTATGGATGCAGAGATGGCTTCCTGGAAGTCCACAGGCACCTACGTTGACGCTGTTCCCCCTCCTGGGGCGAACATCGTCAGTGGGATGTGGATTTTCAGGGTGAAGCGGCCGCCGGGTTCTCCGCCTGTCTTCAAGGCGCGGTATGTGGCTCGTGGTTTCAGTCAGCGGCAGGGAGTTGACTACTTTCAGACCTTCTCCCCCACCCCGAAGATGACCACTCTTCGGGTACTGCTGCACGTTGCTGCTCACCGTGACTACGAGCTGCACTCTCTCGACTTCAGCACAGCTTTCTTGCAGGGCAGCCTGCACGAGGAGATCTGGCTGCGTCGCCCACCTGGCTTCACTGGGTCTTTCCCTCCTGGTACCCAGTGGAGTCTCCGGCGTCCAGTCTACGGTCTCCGCCAGGCGCCGCGTGAGTGGCACGACACACTGAGGACTACGCTGGCGGCACTTGGGTTTGCTCCCTCCACTACAGACCCGTCGCTGTTTCTGCGCACCGACACCTCTCTGCCGCCGTTCTACATCCTCGTGTACGTCGACGACTTGGTCTTTGCCACAGCTGACACTGCTGGACTCGCCTACGTGAAGTCCGAGCTGCAGAAGAGACACACGTGCACTGACTTGGGTGAAC